CAGTACGTTCTAACTTCAAGCATTGACCCTGACGAGCCTAAGTGTAGGCGAAAGCAGCGCCCTGTTCTGTGAACGGGACTGCTAGGTCACTTTTGCTTACGCTACGGCTCTCAAATCCTGACTCCTGAGTAGTCAGGATTTTTTACCGCAGAGACCAAAGATGTGTGAACCGTCCCTGAGCTAACCACTCCTTTTCAAAAACCTAACCCTAATTAGTTCACACATCGCCAACTGTCATGGAGCGCAAAATCGCTTTGGTTCCTCTCCATAAGAACGCTGTTGCTAAAGCAGTCCAGGCAGCATATTCGCTCCAGGATTTACTGAAGGCCGTGCCTGAAGTTTATAAATCTGCTCTCCACCCTCACCTTAAGAGGATCCACAACTTGGCTTCTAAAGAGCTGTCTCTTCGCCAGACCGTGGAGGAGCTTCAGCGTCACCAAAGTGCTGGAACCTATCCAACATTCATCCTGAATGCGATAAGGGATCCCGCCCTGCAGTTTGTCAAACCGTTCCTGGATGACCTGCCCAACCACGCGGATTTTCCGTCGTTACAGGTGGATGTCACTAATGCCAGGAACGTGATGCTAGACCACTCTTTGCTGCTTAAACAGAAAGAGTTGGACTATCTTGAGAGTGCTATCATCGGCGATAGTGACGGCTGGCGGAACGCCTGCTTGAGTGTTGTGCAGGAGCAAGCTGCCTTTGTCAAGGCTACGATCTCTGAGCACCTAGTCGAAGACCGTGAACCTGAGTTCTATTGGTCAGGGCGGGCGATGCCTGGGCAGATCCTCACGGACTTCTCATCCATCGTTGGACTACATGATGTCTTTATCACTCAAGTGGTGTATCTTGCCAAGTTAGCTGAAGCCTCTCGCACTTCGCTTTTGGAGAGAAAGCAAGATGCAAAAATCCTCGCTGATGTCGAAATGACAGATGGCGCAGGTACCAGCTCACATCAATCGATGGAGCAACTGGTTGCGGATAAGGTGAAAACCGAACTCCGAAAAGCGCTTTCAAAACGTAAGCACCACTTTCTTGGCATCTGTGATGCAGAGAAGCGCGTGTCTGACATAACCACTTCATCTCGAAAACGCTTTAGGCAATCCTCCCTCCCATCGGTACCCTGGCAAATCCGGACTCCTGAGGAGTCAGGATTTGAAACCAGGAAGACCTTTGAAAGGAGCGACCCAACCACCGTCACGAAAGGACTCGAAACGCAAGAGGGGCCCGGTGCCTTCTCGGAATCGAAGAGCTGCAGGGAAGAGATGACTGTTACTTCGTTTTTAGCGTCTTGTCCTAAAGGATGGAAGCCTTGGAAACTTGCTTCCTATCCTGATCTGTATCTAGACCTGAGCAATCAATGTCGTGCAAAGATCGCATATTCACAGTTGAAAGTCTGGGAAGCTCTTACGCTTCGTGACGCTCAACCAGGAGTGTTTAAGCATCCAAGCATTCACCTCCCAAGGGATGTAGAGTACACATTGGCTTTGAATAATAAATTCATCCTGCCTCGTCCTATAGATACAAAAGACCTCCAGTCTGCCAAAGAGCAGCTGGTTCGGCAGGTGCGCTTAAAGTGGCACTTCCGCGACAGGTCTTCACCGATGTTTCTTCCGCAGTTCCATGTTAAATCCTCTACGTGGGATCCACCTTGTGCGCATCATCTTATCGAGCGGGGGCTATCGGCTGCGATGCAAGTAATCGACGTCCATGTACGTCGGGGGCTTGTTGACACGCAACACCGGGCTCTCACTTCCGGATTAACCAACTGGAGAAAGGCTCGACAGTGGCTACTTGATAATTCATCAATGGCGAAAATCACTGATAAGAACTTGGGAATTGCCGTGTTTCCCACGTCCTGGTACATGGAAGGTATGCAAATGTTGGTCTCAGACAAGAGCACTTATAAAGTGATCGGTCCTGTGGATCAACCTCCTAAGTACCTATCGGAAAGTCATCAATGTCGGCTCTTAAAAGATCGTCTACACCACTGGGATTTGGAACCCCAGCTGGAGAAGTTTATCCGCTATAAGACAAGGGTGCAACTACCACGCTTACATGGTATCCCAAAAGTACATAAGGAACCATGGAAGATGCGGCCAATAGTTCCATCGCATTCGTGGATTACCACCTGCGTCTCGCAAGTCGTGGACTTTCTTTGCCGGCCGCTGCTAGCTAAATATCCCTGGGTGTTGATTTCCTCAAAAGATTTCATCGTCCAGCTGGAGAAGGTACGCAGCAAGCCTTCCTCTGCAACCGACGATGTTTGGTTAGTTTCTGGCGACGTTGAAGCCTTCTACACCAACATCCCACCTTCCGACTGTGCTTTTTCAGTGGCTGAAGCATATGGAAAATGGAACATCGCTGCAGAGCAAGGTCGTCCTCACCCGCCCAGTCCTGAGATCATTGCATCGATGATTGGGTATGTGATGGACAAAAACTTCTTCGCCTTCGATGGAACAATATACAAACAGACTCGAGGACTCGCAATGGGGACGCCCGCTGCACCGGTTCTTGCCAATGTTTACGCTGCTTCCATCGAAGAACAGCTACCGATACTTAAACATGCTCGGCTGCTATATTATGGTCGCTATCTAGACGACATATTCCTGATGTACAAGGGAAGCGAAGAAGAGCTGAAGTCGTTCCTCGCCCAAGTGAAGTTGGGATCCTTGACTATCAGCTGGTCCTATTCACAGACAACAGAGCATTTCCTTGATGTCGAGGTACTTAGGTATAAGAATACATCAATGGAAGTTTGGACATTGGCCACCAAACTCTTTGTCAAGCCCATGAATAGGCACCTTTATATTCCCTGGTCAAGTGCTCATCCTCAGCATGTGAAGAAAGCCTTCGTCAAGGCCGAGCTGACCCGGTTCGTTATACTATGCTCTGAAATGTGGTACTTTGCGGACGCAAGACGAGCATTTTATAGCAATTTAAGACGGAGAGGTTACCCGTCGAGAACCTTGGATGTATGGTTCACTCAAGCATCATACAGCCAACGCATGGCGTTTCTTACGACTTTTCAAGCCGAGAGTCACGTTGATGATATGCCGTTGATGCTTCGAGGTGAATACAATCCAATTTGGGAATATATAAACGTGGACGAGATTTCCAAAGCTGCACAAAAAGAATGGAGCAAATTGAAAGATCAATTGCCTCGTACTTTACAACAAAAGCTGATTCGAAGTCTCCGCAAATCAACTTGTCTTGGTGACTTGTTGAATGTGAGCAACTTGACGGCGTTGGAACAATACTACAGTGAAACGCGTAACAATTCAGCTGCCTCTGAATCTGCTATGCCTGGAACTGGTTTGTCTTAACGCTGCTGTCCACATCAAGTACAACTCGGGTATAGGTTTAGCCTTTCGAGTATCGTTGTACTTCAGGTATTGACTCGCAGTATCCGATGTTACTGATTGACGCAATTCATTCTTATTCAGACCAAATGGGCACTGGCACCGTTGTGTCACTCCTCGGACTGATCATTCACTACATACACGCTTTACCTTATGACATTGTCTAGGTAAATAAAATCCGGACTCCTCGGGAGTCAGGATTTATTTCAGGGACATTCAGTCTCTTTGAGTTCTGACAGATTCTGGCGTTACTTTATTCTTCTCTAAGTATATGTCCTGCGCTGTCTCTCATACATTGACGTTATTGTGGATGGTCATACCCAGGAACGCATTGTGTTAAATCTGAAGTATAAGAATGATTTGCGAGTCAGAATAACCTCAGGCACAGGGTCAAGCTGAATTACTACATACTGATTGGTATAGGTGCGCATGTATTCGCCCTGTAGGGTTCAAACCCCTAACCTAACCCTAACCCTAACCCTAAACCTAACCCCCAGGGGACGACATTAGGTTACAGGTACGCAAGT